GGGCCTGTCCCGCCCGTGGGACGGTCGTACTACAGAGGGGTCTTTCAGCGCCCGACCAGTATCTCTCAGTGTCGATTATTTTATGAATTAGAAAGAACAACCAAAACCCTAGGAAAAAACAATTGCCTAGCAACCCGAGGATTACTCCTGGAATAAAAATGTTCCTTGTCTTTGTTCCAGAAGAAATTCGCTTAGTGAGAACGAGTCTTCTCAGACATGGACTATTTGGTTTTCTGTGTGCTTCACTTTTTGTGATTTTTGAACCACAGGCTGAATGTTTTTGTATCTGTAAGAAACCCAAACTCTCCAAATTGACTTACATGCAAAAGGAATGTATCATTCTGCACTGTTTTTGTGAAAATATTGTATGGGGGGGGAAAAAGGTCTGGAGGAATATATAGAATATATAGCAAGTAGTTAGCTGGATTCCTCCAGGTGTTAGGATTTTAGGAGACTTTCATTTTTGTTGTTATCAAATGCTGTAACGTTTGAGCTTTTTACAGCAAGCATTAATCGTATATGCAGAAAAAATTTAAATACATCAGGGGAATGAATGCAGCTTGTAAAGAAATATGATAAAGCATTCAGTCTTTAAAATTTTTAAAAAGCAGTTACAGTCGACCTACAATATTAGTTTCAGGTGTATAACATGGTGACTCGATATTTATATACCTTATGATGCGATCACACAAGCCTGGTAATTCTCACCATGCGAAGTTACTGTGTCGCTGTCGACTGTGTTCCCTGTGCTGAACCTAATACATCCCCGTGACTGACTGACTGTGTAACTGGAAGTTTGTACCTCTTACTCTTCTTCTTTTTTACCCATCCCCCCATTTAGTCCTAATGACCAAATAAATGCAGATTAAGACTGCAGGCTATCTTTCCTGCAATTATCGCTGAGAAGCTACAGTTAAATGTTTTCTCATTCATCACCGGTAAGAGTGTCGAGCCCCCTTGGAAAGCAATTTGATGATAGTTGTCAAATCTTAATCATGTTCAGTTAAGGGCCTAGCTTCTATATAATAAGTTTTAAAAGGATTAAAATTGTATGTAATGTGTACATATAACTCTGTAGCAAGTCACATATATGAAAAATACTGGAGAGGAGAGGAGTACAGCAAAATTACAAGAGCCATTGTTACATTTTCCGATGGCTTTTTTCTGAGCCATCAGACGCAGTTGGGTCCCCTTGCCTTTCTTTTTCATAGCAGCCTGTACCTCCTTTATCACAATCATTTCAGTATTGTTTGGGGAATTTGTTTGCTGGCTACTTAAGGTTAGTAAGGCCAGGAACCGTGCCTGCTGTATCTTGTTTACTGCTCTCTTCCCCGGGCAGTGCACTTGGTTCGTAAAAATTTTTAGTAAGTATTTGACATGTAAATAAAAGTGTTTGAGTGGTGGGACTAGAATTCCCACCCCTAACCCCACCCTGCCTTTTCCCAAATTTTTTGGAATGCTTTCTTTTGCAATTTAACATATAAGAAGTGGAAAATGGAGAGCTCATGGGCAAAGAAGGCAGTGAGTCCTTTCTTTTATAAAATTCGCAGTACCCCCTCGAAAGCAGAGCTATCTGGTTGTCACGTAGAGAACACTTTTGTCCACCTTGCCTCTTTCTTTCAACAAGAGAGTGAGCGAGCATGAGCTGTGCAGTAGGGCCCTGCTTGACTATTCAGAAATTCTTATCTTTCTGGTTTTCTGTTTTCTGTAGCGAATACCAGGGCCTGGTGAAACATACCGGAGGCTGCCACTGTGGAGCAGTACGCTTTGAAGTTTGGGCCTCGGCAGACTTGCACATCTTTGACTGCAAGTGAGTGTTTTCTCTCCCCAGGTTGGTTTAAGAGCACTTGTGAGTTAAAGCACAGTGCTTCAGCATCGTCTGGGGAGTCGGGGTACAGCTGAAGCAACATATAGCTGATAATTGCTGGAGTCAGGTGATGGGTATATAAGGGTTCATTGTTCTATTCTTTTTCCTGTTGTATGTACTAGAAGATTTTTTTGTTTATTTATTTAAAGCTTTTTCTTTTTAATCCTTATCCAAGGATATGTTTATTGATTCAGAGAGAGAGAAAGAGAAATATCGATGTGAGAAACACCAATTGGCTGCCTCCCATATGCACCCGGACCAGGGATCAAACCTGCAACTCAGGTATGTGCCCTGACGGGGAATTGAACCTGTGAATTCTGTGACCTTTCGGTGTACAGGACAATGCTCCAACTAACTGAACCACACCAACCAGGTTTGGAAGTTTTTAATAATAAATTTTTTTTTTAAAAAAGATGGAGGCTAAAAATAACTGACCCTGCTCTGTGTGTGTGTGTGTGTGTGTGAGTGAGTGTGAATGTGTATGTGTGAAAGAGCGACAGAGAGATATCGCTCCTACAGCACAACCCCAGGTGACAGTGGCCTGTGCCTGGCAGAGTCACCCCTCAGACTGGTGGGTGGGGCAGTGGTTAGCTGGAAGTGGGTCAGTCTGGGCACTGAATGAAGTGCCTTGGGTAGAGTCTTCAGAGTTGAGGGGAGGGGAAGGGTAAATGAGTGGAGGGTGTGTGTACCTGGAGGCCACCATGCTCCAGGCCTTCTTGCTCTGTTCTTACAGGTGAGGCAAATGATACTGCCAGGATCTGTAGAGGGCCTGCTTTTTAGCACCTTCCCTGGCATTGTGACAGAACAAGGATTACAGGCTCTGATTTTTGTTCTAGGTGGTACCTGAATTATATGTGAAAAAAATATCATGGAATTAAATGGGGAACTGACCAGGCTGCTAACAGTGGAGTCCAGATTGCAGAAGCACCCTGGATTCTATACTAGAGGGTTAGAGGAGCCTCCAGATAGAGGATTCTGTACTAAATTAGAATTTTTAAAAACGTGGACTAAAAAGAGGGGGCTTAGATTTAATTCCAAAGATGGTAATCCTGAGGACCTTGGAGCTAAGCTTTACTTGGAGCTAGGCATTCCATGATGTGCGGATGCAGAAAGAGGGAAACATAACCTTTCTCGTCCATTTTTGGTGTGGGTATCCCAAGGGTAAAAGATTGTAGCTATGCCTGATGGAAGTGTCTCTAGAATGCAGTTCCTTTTACTGTAGTGAATCAGGGGTGGGTAACAGAATCGTGGTTCTCTTAGTTCTCGTATTCAAGGGGATGCATGGTCTCAACTGCTGGCTGTGGGACCTGTGGGCAGGGACCCCGGGTGGCCAGTCCATCTGCCTGAACTTCCCCCTCCCTGGGTAGTGCTGAAAGGGGCCTGACCTCTGGGATCAGCTGGCTCTCAAATCATATCAGGTTGGGCCCCTTGGGCACTCAGGGTGCAGATGGCTACTCACAATCTGGGACGTGCCCTGTCTCTTTGTAGCTGCAGTGTCTGCAAGAAGAAGCAGAATAGACACTTCATTGTTCCTGCTTCTCGCTTCAAGCTCCTGAAGGTTAGTGCTAAGAGCTGGGCTGAAGATGCAGAGCCCACTGGTGAGTCCCTGACTGACAGCACACCCTGGGAGAGGGCAAGGGGGCAAGAAGCACAGCGCAGTGTCTCTGGGGCTTTCATTTCCTTTGTCACCCAGGTTTCATGTTTATTTTTACTTCATTTTATTTTTTTTTGGATCCACAATGAACAATTTTCTTTTTTTCTTTCCCCTTTAATCCTAACCTGAGGATATGTTTATTGATTTATTTTAGAGAGAGAGGAAGGGGGAGAGAGAAAGAAATATCTATCAGCTGCCTCCCATATGCACCCCACCAGGGATCAAACCTGCAACCCAGGTATGTGCCCGGACCAGGAATCGAACCCATGACCCTTCGGTGCATGGGTCAGCACTAACCACTGCCCAGGGTAGTTGTTCCACTTATTATGCATTCATCAGTGCTGGCTTTTTTTTAATCCTCACCGAGGATATTTTTTCCATTGCTTTTTATTTTTTTAATTTTATTATTTTTTTAAAACATATCTTTTTTTCTTTTTTTTAAAAATAAATATATCTTTATTGATTTCAGAGAGAGGAAAGGAGGGGGAGAGAGAGATAGAAACATCAATGATGAGGGAGTCATTGATTGGCTGCCTAGCCCGCAGCCTGGGCATGTGCCCTGACAGGAATCGAACCCCGATCGCCTGGATCCTAGGTCTACGCTCAAACGGTGAGCCACGCCGGGCCGGGCTCCATTGCTTTTTAGAGGGAGTGGAAGATGGAGAGCGAGAGAGAAAAAAAACATNCGCTCAAATGGTGAGCCACGCCGGGCCGGGCTCCATTGCTTTTTAGAGGGAGTGGAAGATGGAGAGCGAGAGAGAAAAAAAACATTGATGTGAGAGAGACACATTGATTGGTTGCCTCCCACACATGCCCCAACGGGAGTGAGCCTGCTACTGAGGTATGTGCCATTGGCCGGAATCAAACCCATTACCCTTCAGTCCACAGGTCGACACTCTAACCACTGAGCCAAACTGGCTAGGGCTGGTTGCTTTCTTGTATGTGCCCTGATCTGGGACCAGACCCACAACCTTGTCACTTCAGGACAGTGCTCTAACCAACAACCACCTGGCCAGGGCTTATTTATTTATTTATTTACTTTATTTATTTATTTATTTTTATATCTTTTTATTGATTTCAGAGAGAGGAAGGGAGAGAGAGAGAGAGAGAGAGATATCANTGGCCAGGGCTTATTTATTTATTTATTTACTTTATTTATTTTTATATCTTTTTATTGATTTCAGAGAGAGGAAGGGAGAGAGAGAGAGAGAGAGAAATATCAATGATGAGAAAGAATCATCAATCACCTGCCTCCTGCATGCCCCACACTGGGGATCGAGCCTGTGACCTGGGCATGTTCCCTGACTCAGAATCGAACTGTGACCTCCTGGTTCATAGGTTCATGCCCAACCACTGAGCCACACCAGCCGGGCTATTTATTCATTTTAAATTGAGATATAATTGACATATAACATTTATATGAGTTTCAGATATACAGTATAATGATTCATTATATATACATATTGTGTGTGTTTTTAAATTACAAAACTTATTTGTTCAAAAAGCATTTATGGGACACCTACTGTGTGCCAGGCACTGTTCCAATGAAGCCCAGCAACCTTGTTAACCAGTTAACAGGACAGCAACCTTGTTAACCAGTTAACAGGACAGATGAGGCCCTTCTTGGAGTTTACATTCTATAGAGGGGAGACAGAAAAACTAAATAAGGAAAAATCTGATAGTGCTGTATAGAGTTAAAGTAGAGCAACATGACAGAAGATCGCTGGGTGGCTGGTTTAGATTGGTTAGGAAAGGTCCCTTTGGTGTTCAGATGTCAGTGATGAAGATGGGGGTGCACAGGTGGGGAGTACCCCAGGCAAGGGGAAGATATAGTGCAGAGAGCTTAAGAGGCACAGACTTGGCATGTCTGAGGAGCTGAACAATGGCCATTGTGGTTAGAGGAGTCAGTACGGTGGAGGTGAAAGAGACTAGGGGGAGGTTGGGGGGAGAGCAAGAGCAGGCGTAGATTTTATTCTTTGCATAGTGTGAAGCTAGTGGAGGGGCTTAAGCAGGGTAGTGATGAGACCTGCTTCAGTGTTTTAAAAGCTTACTTTGGCTGCTGCGTGGAGTGGATTGTAAGGAGGTAAGTGCAGAGACAGGGATAGCTAGGAGGTTGTCGAGGCGGGCTGGGTGAGAGATGATGGGAATTTGGATTAGGACGGTAGTCATGGAGATGGAAAAAAAATAGATAATTGGTGATACATTTCATTTCGTTTTTTCATTGGTTCTAGAGAGAGGAAGGGAGAAGGAGAGAGACAGAAACATCAGTGTGAGAGAGAAACATCGATTGGTTGCCTCCTTCTGTACTTACCCCAACTGAGGATTGAACCCACAAGCTGGGTATGTGCCCTGACTGGGAATCAAACCTGTGACCCCTTGGTGCACAGGACGACGCTCCAGCCAACTGAGCCACACCGGCCAGGGCTGGTGATATATTTTGAATAGGTCATTGGACAGATATTTTAGAGCAGTGGTTCTCAAACCTCAGCGTGCACAGTCACCTGGAGGGCATGTTAAAACAGATGGCTGAGCCCCACTCCTGATTCTGTGGGTCTTGGGATGGGGGAATGAGAATTTACATTTCTTACATGTTCAGGTGCTGCTGCTGGCCCGACCACACTCTGAGAGCCACTGTTTTAGAGAAAGGACGAATAGAGCTCTGTAAAGGATTGGGTGTGGAGATGAGGAAGAGAGAGGAGTCAAAGCTACACCCGCACTGTTGGGCCTGACCCAGATCCCGGGGGAGATGCCAGATCCCGGGGGAGAAGCAGGCGAGAGTGCTGGAATCAAGAGTTCTTTTATGAAAAAGTTCATTTGAAGATGTCTTTTGGACATTCACATAGAGATAGGAAGCAGGCAGCTTGATGTAAAGTGTGGAGTTGTGAGAGATCAGAGCTGGAGCTACCAATTTGACAGTGTTGGCTTATGGATGGTGTTTAGAGCTGTGAGGCCAGGTGAGGTCAGCTGGTAGAGGGTGTAGCCCAAGAAGAGAGAGGACCGAGGACAGAGCCCTGGGGCTCGCCGGCATTTGTAGAGAGCCCTGAGAAGGATGGCCAGTGGGGAGGAGGGGAAAAATGGGAGTGTGGTGTCCTCGAAGACAAATGTTTCAAATGCAAGGAGTGGTACTGAGAGGTCATTTAAGAACAAGTTAAGAATCCAGTGGTCAAGAGAAGTGACCATTGGACTTCTCCACATGGTGGTGCTTGATGACTTGTGGTTGGGCATGAGACAGAAGAGATGATGACAGGCTGTGTGTTTTAGTGGGAGCAGGGGCTGTGGTCAGGTCGGTGGATGCACAGAACAGTGAGGCGTCACCAGTGACCGTAGTCGTGAACCAGGTAAGGGAGGGTGTGAGGCAGCTCCCCACTCTTGGTAATTTCTCAGGGCAAAGTGTGTAATCAGATCACTGGCTGGTGTGGGACCGCCTGGCAGTTGTTGTTTGCTGCTTCTCTGTGGTGAAGTGGCTGTGGGTGAGGAGAGGTCCTGGGGAAAATAGAGGCTCCTCTTTTTATAGGAGGCACAGAGCCCTGAGGGAAGACGCATACGAATGCCTAGCAGTGGTAAAAACGCTCCACCTCAGTCCTTCAGACACACACGCACAAACGCACAAGTATGTATATCCTTTTTAAAAAAATAGAAATGGTAGTACACTACACAAATTGTTTTGTGCTTTGCTTTCTCACTGAGCTTTGTAACCTTAAAGATTGTTCCATATTAGTGTTTGTACGTAGAACTGCCTCGTTCTTTTCAGAAGTGGCAGAGTAGTCCATTTTATGAGTGTCCGTAGTTGCTTTAACTAGTCTGGCAGATATTCTTTTCTTAGTGTATCCTTTGTAGGTGAATTCAAATCCAGTCAGCGGTTTTCTCAAGACCATTTGCAGTGCTGTTTGGGGACATGGAGAGCCAGTCCTTAGCGTGAGCTGTCTGCCCACTCAGGCCCAGGAAGCAGGTGTTTTCACTCCCTGCCATCGATGGGTCTGTCTTGCTGTGAATCAGGGAAAGCATGAGGCTGAGTGGCTCTCTGTGCAGTTGACCTACGAGAAGGCATGAGCTGTCCCTTCTCTAGCACAGGGACACATAGACACTGATGATTCTCCTGGCTGTGCAGATGGTTCCCTGTCCTAGAGAAGCCTCTAGTCTCCGAGAGATTGGATGTGTCCTCATAATCCTGAGAGCCCTACAGAGGGGCTCCCCAACTCATTGAGCCTTTTAAAAGATATTTTTAAAGTGGAAAAAAAAATCTTCTTGTGAAAGAGAACACCTACCTGTTTGTCTGTTTTCCCTTAGGGAGCAGAGAGCATAACCACGTACACATTCAATACTCACAAAGCGCAGCATACCTTCTGTAAGAGATGTGGCGTGCAGAGCTTTTACACCCCCCGCTCAAACCCTGGCGGCTTCGGTAAGTACAGGAAATGGCCACAAGCTCAGGAGGAACACTGGGCTGCTCTGGGTACATGCTGGTTAGGAAGGTGGGCACTGCATGCGTGGCTGGCCTCCTGCTTGGTGAGACCCTTCCTCACGCATGTCTTAGATGAACAAATGATGGGATGTCAGACTGTTTCTGGTCGTTCAGATGCCAGCCAGGTCCTGATCTCATTACTGGTGCTGCCAGAGCTGTGTCAGTGGGGCTGACACTGAAACGAGGAGAGGAGATGGGCCTGTGAATTTTAACAATGGAGGTTAAAGAGCATTGATAATGCTGTTACAAAATTTTGGTTTGTTCAAAACAAACAGGAGAACCCCCAAGTTCCTCTTCAGGTCCTGCTTGGATCTGGAGGAGAGAACAGCCTTTAGACAGTTGTTTAGAATGATGCCAGTTGCAGTGTGAATTGTAGCATTGAGGACGTTCCTGAGGAATCTTATGTCCTATATAGATGTAGCCCCAGAGCTGTGGCAGGGCAACCCTGGCTGGGACCATCCTGTGCCTTGTGGTGGGGGGAGGGCATGACATCACCCTGCCCTTCTGGCCCCATTTCTCATAGCAGCCCCTGTTTGTTCCTCGTGTTCACATGGATACTCCTTTTTGCCTTCCTCGAGGCATAGGAAGGGCTTTGGGAAAGTATAAACTCCTGGACAAAGGGCCTGTGAATTCTTCAGACGGTCAGTCAGAGACTGCTCTAGGCTGAGTCTTTGTGCTCTCCTGTATTCAGCTTGGCCATCCCTGGCTCAGGAAGGCAGAGCCCCGTCTGAGAGCCAGGAGAGGAAGCCAGGCTGACACTGTAAGCTATAGTGTGTCACTTGGAAAGCCCCGCGCGCAAGTACAATGATGCTTGCAGGTGTGGGTTTGTCCAAGAGTCAGTGTAGTGCCTGGTCTCACTCATACTGGGGACCCCCCTTTCTCTATGCCACTTCCCTCTAGGAATCGCCCCCCACTGTCTGGATGAGGGCACTGTGCGGAGTATGGTCATTGAGGAATTCAATGGCAGCGATTGGGAGAAGGCCATGAAGGAGCACAAGACCATCAAGGACATGTCTAAAGAGTGAGCTCCTGCTTTCTCCCTTCCTGAAAAGGAGGAATGATTGGGGCCAGCAGCTTTGCTGTCCCCTGTGCACCTCGGTGGTGCCCATGAGTGTGGCTGACCCAGGCTGCTGGTGCGCTCACCCAGCGGCCATCTCGAGCTCTGCACTTTGCTCCAGCTACCAGTTTGTTTAGGCAGCTCTTTGTCCTTTGTCAGCCCCGACTTTGATGTAGGCTAGTTGACATCCTTTCTCTTCCCAACTTTTGTGTGATCTTTTAGAAAAATAAATATTTTAATATTAAAGCAGTTACTATGATTTATCATTTTCTTTCACTTTGATTTTGCTTCTGAGGCCAGTCAATTAATAGCAGATATTTGTTGAGCACTGTTAAGATGCTTCAACCAAATTGGGAGGGAAGATGAGGCAGGTGGACAGTTATTAGAAATGTAAGAAACATGAGTTGTAAAGATAATATGAGCTCCAGTAGTTCAGAAGAGTGAAAGGGCTGGTCACAGAAGACTTGGGGAGTGGGGAGGGTAAATCAGTTTAATTTTTTTTCCAGTTGGGGTAAAATATACATAACAAAGTTTACCATCTTAATCGTTTTTAAGTGTATAGTTCATTAGTGGTAAGTACATTCACACATTGCTGTGCATCCAATTTCCAGAACTCATCTTGCAGAACTTAACTTCTGTACCCATTAAATAACAAGCTAGGGTCTCTATTTGTAAAGGAAGCAAGATTTAGAAAGGTAGGAGATGGAAATAACTGAACAGATGTGGGCACAAGCTAAACACCAGGCTGAATTGTATACTTGTGAGGGGAAGAAGTATTAGAAGAGATCAGAAAAGTATGTTGAAGCCGGACTGTGGACTGTCTTAGACATTAGGCTCAGGAATTTGGCCTTTATTTTGCAGGTATCGGGAAGCCCTGACCAGCTTTGAACAGGATACAGCAAGCCTGGCCTGTTACGCAGTCTTTTGACTGGTTCCCCTGCCCCACTCCGTGCTTCCCGTTGCTTTTTGCATGTTACAATCAGATTAACTTTCTTAAAGCATTCCTTTCATTACCAAATACCGAGTATACATAATGGCAAATGCTTAATAAATATTTGTTCTTTGCTTTAGGAAAGTCAATTGAAATGATTTCGAGATACACTAGGGGAGAGGAAATTCCATAGTTCCTCCTATCTATGGTTTGGCTTTCTGTGGTTTCAGTTACTCACAGTCCAAAAATATTGAATGGAAAATTCCACCTCAGTTCCTCTCATGTTGGCATTGTATCGTTTGATCACAAGAAGAAGGGTGAGTACAGTGCAATAAGATGCTTTTAGAGAGACCATATGTACTTAAATTTTATTTCAGTATATTGTTATAATTTTCTGTTTTATTATTAGTTATTGTTAATCTCTTACTGTGCCTAATTTGTAAATTAAATTTATCACAGGTGTATATGTATAGGAAAAGGTTTGGCATTGTCCGCAGTTTCAGGCATCCACTCGTTCTTGAATCATCTCGCTTGCAGATAAGGGGGACAACTGTACACGTGGGCTGGTGTTCTCCCAAGTCCTTGAGGGCCTGTTGACAGACGGCCTTGTTCAAACTAAGGTAGAAGGAGCTGGTAAATTATTTGGTAAAACGTGAGTATATTATATAGTTTTGTGTATCTTTTTAACTTTAAAAAAAATATGTTATTGATTTCAGAGAGAGGAAGGAAGAGGGAGAGAGAGAGAGAGAAATATCAATGATGAGAGAGAATCATTGATTGGCTCTCTCCTGCATACCCCCTACTGGGGATTGAGCCTGAAACCCGGGCAGGTGTGTGCCCTGGCTGAGAATCGAACTGGTCACCGCCTGGTGCAGGCGACAATGCCCAGCCAACTGAGCCATCCCAGCCAGGGCAGATTTGTGTATATATATATATTTTTTAAATATATCTTTATTGATTTCAGAGAGAGGAAAGGAGAGGGAGAGAGAGAGATAGAAACATCAATGATGAGAGTCATTGATCGGCTGCCTCCTGCACGCCCCTGACTGGGGATTGAGCGTGCAACCTGGGCATGTGCCCTGACCGGGAATCGAACCCTGATCGCCTGGATCCTAGGCCAATGCTCAACCGCTGAGCCATGCCCGGCCGGGCTGTGTATCTTTTAAAAACATAAATGACATTATATTTTACCTTTTGTTCTGCAGCTTGCATTTTTGTTTAAAAATATCTTCATATTTTTGAATTAATATACATATCCTCATTATTAGCTGTTACGTGGAATTCCGTAGGATGGGTATAATTTACATAACCATTCTTTTTTTCTATGGAAATTGAGGTTTCCAGTTTTTGCTTTACCATGAGTGTTAACAAGGGACATCTTTTTACATGCCTCTTTTTACACATGTGTATTCTTTGAGGATATAGAAGTGGAATTACTGGATGGAAGATATGCATATTTTAAATATTAAAAATACTGCTAAGTTGCCATCAAAGTATATGCCAGCCTCTAAAATATCCATCAACCCTGCACATAGCAGAGTGCCCTCACCAACACTTGATGCTATTAATCTTTGTAATTGTGACCAATCTGTTGAGCAAAATGTTTCATTTTTTAAGTTCCCATTTTCCTGATTACCTGTGAGGTTGAGCATATTTTTATGTTTTTTGGCCAGTTTTATTTCTTGTCCTGTCAGTTGCTCGATCATGTCCTTTGCCCATTTTTCTTCGGGACTGTTTTTTCACCTACCAGTTTGAAAAACAGGTAAAGCCCTGGCTGGTTTTGCTCAGTGGTTAGAGCATTGGCCTGCAGGCTGAAGGGTCCTGGGTTTGATTCTGGCCAAGGGCATGTACCTTGGTTGCAGGCTCAATTCCCTGGCCCAGTCGGGGTGTGTGCAGGAGACAGCCAATCGATGTATGCCTCTCACATCGATGTTTCTCTCTCTCTCTCCCCTCTCTTTCTCTCCCTCCCTCCCTCCTCCCCTCTGAAAAAGCAATGGAAAAAATATCCTTTGGTGAAGATTTAAAAAACATATTAGTAAAGAAAGTTTTTTAGATACTATTTTATTTAAAAAATTAGTATTTGGAGCTCCTTATGTTCCAGATATAAATCCTGATACAAATTTTACAAACGTTCTTTTTCATCTCAATTGTTCTAACTTTATTAGAGTTTTAGATTTTGATGGGTTCAGATTTAGGTCTTTTTCATTTTCATTATGGTGTTCTGACTTTAGTGTTTTCTGTTTTTGGTGTGTGATTTATGCCTTATTTGAGAATGCTTTCTTTATTATGTGTGTAAACATATTTACCTATATTTCCATTTACTACTTTCATACTTTTATTGTTTTGGGATTTTTTGGGTTTTTTTTACACGTAGCCCTTCGCTTTTTATTTTAATTTATTGAGTCTAGAGAGAAAGGGAGAGAGAGAAACATTGATTTGTTGTTCCACTTGTTTATTTATTCATTGTTTGATTGTCGTATATGCCCCAACCAGGGATCAAACCCACAGCCTTGCATTTCCAGATGATGCTCTAACCAACTGAGCTGCCCAGCCAGGGCCGAGGGTAAACTGTTTCCAGTACTGAGCTTTATCACCCAGGAGAGTGGCGCGTCTCACCAATGTGATCTGTTCTTTTACACCCCTCAGGTAAGTCCATGCTGTTGGCCATATAGAAGCAGTAGAGATGGCGCATTTTGTGCTGGCTTTATTTCTGGCTAGCTGATTTTTTTTGTTTTGCTTTTGTGAATGGGATCTTATTTTTCACTTTGCAATTGGTATTGAATGGTGTGTTAAACTTTTATCTGGCCGCTTGTTGAATTTCCAGTGACTTTCTTTTTTTTTTTAAGATATATCTTTATTGATTGCAGAGAGAGGAAGGGAGAGGGAGAGAGATAGAAACATCAGTGATGAGAGTCATTGATCAGCTGCCTCCTGCACGCCCCCTACTGGGAATGGAGCCCACAACCTGGGAATGTGCCCTGACCGGGAATCAAACTGCCACCTCCTGGATCCTAGGTTGATGCTCAACCGCTGAGCCACACCGGCCGGGCTCCAGTGACATTCTCAGCTAGCCTGTTGAAAGTGTCCCTTGGCAGCGAGGTCACTAGCAGAAGGCGGGACAGTCAGTGGCCCTGCATGGAGACTGTCCTAGCTCGAGCCTCCTGAGCCATCATTTTAGAGGTTAGTATTTTCCCACTTGTGTCAGTGGAAGCCAGCATTTGGTACCAGCCGATTNAGGGGGACCCTCTTTGGGTCAGATTGACTTGGAATGAGACACCATCAGTAGCAGCCTGGCACTCCTGGGGTGAGCCCTCAGCTGGAAAGCAAACCAGCTGGAGTCCATCCTCACAGTGCCACTTTCCCCTTGGCTCTCTCTGCCAGGAGCTACCTCACACAATATTGCTTCCATGCCCTCTTGAGGGGTTTAAGGAGGCATTTGCTGCAACTGTGTTTTATATTTTCTTAATTCATAAAGGAAGGAAACAATTCTAAAGCCTGCAAGAACTTACCAAAGTGAGATTAGACTAGCTCTAGTTAGTGGAAATCCACGTCCTGGGATTCTCTCGGGAGCCTTTCCTCAAATCAGCCTTCACTTACCTAAAACCCATGGTGCTGGGACCAGCACCTCTCTCTGGCTGATGAAAAGCTAAGGGTGATCTGTTGACCCCTTTCCTCCCTTGTCCTTTGGGCAGGAAGAGCCTCCCAAAGGATACTGCAGTTGCTCCAGGTCCAGGCTAAGGAATGGGTTTCTAGAGCGAAGGCTTGCTGTTTCCTGGGACTTCCTTCTGGACAGCAGTGCTGCCCCCAGGTGATTACCCGCATCTGCCCCAACCAGCGGGAGAAATAAAACTTAATTCTGAGCTCATAGGCTCTGATGAACTCTTTAAAGATAACTAGAATTCTTTCCAAACTCCTCAGACCTTCCCCCAGGGTGCACTTAATTAGACCATATGTCTTCAGCTTTTAGTTACTGTTGACTTCACTTTCACTTGGATTTTCCTTTTAAGACTGTCGGTATGGGACGGGAGGGGGAAGAGCGAGAGGGTACCTGGAGGATTTAGCCTTTACCATGACCTTAACACCGATCAGACTGAATTCGTTCCCCGCCCTCTTGTGGTCCAAGAACGTAAACATTTTGTGGTGCTTCCATCCTGGGCAGCCTGTCTCACTGCTTCACTTGTTACAGAATTCACTGACTTCACAGGCTCTCTGCACCAGCTAAGGAGACTGCGGTTTGATTCCGGTCAGGGCACATGCCTGGGTTGCAGGCTTGATCCGTAGCAGGGGACCAGCCCATCAATGACTGTCTCTCATCATT